GAATTACTATGGGGGATGAATTACTATGGGGGATGAATTACTATATGGGGGATGAATTACTATATGGGGGGTGAATTACTATATGGGGGATGAATTACTATAGGGGGGATGAATTACTATATGGGGGATGAATTACTATATGGGGGATGAATTACTATATGGGGGATGAATTACTATGGGGGATGAATTACTGTAGGGGGATGAATTACTATAGGGGGGATGAATTACTATAGGGGGGATGAATTACTATATGGGGGATGAATTACTATATAAGGGATGAATTACTATGGGGGATGAATTACTATATGGGGGATGAATTACTATGGGGGATGAATTACTATGGGGGATGAATTACTATATGGGGGATGAATTACTATGGGGGACGAATTACTATATGGGGGGATGAATTACTATGGGGGATGAATTACTATAGGGGGGATGAATTACTATATGGGGGATGAATTACTATGGGGGATGAATTACTATAGGGGGGATGAATTACTATATGGGGGATGAATTACTATGGGGGATGAATTACTATATGGGGGATGAATTACTATGGGGGATGAATTACTATGGGGGATGAATTACTATATGGGGGATGAATTACTATATGGGGGATGAATTACTATGGGGGATGAATTACTATATGGGGGATGAATTTACTATATGGGGGATGAATTACTATGGGGGATGAATTACTATGGGGGATGAATTACTATCTGGGGGATGAATTACTATGGGGGATGAATTACTATGGGGGATGAATTACTATATGGGGGATTAATTACTATGGGGGATGAATTACTATATGGGGGATGAATTACTATATGGGGGATGAACTACTATGGGGGATGAATTACTATATGGGGGATGAATTACTATGGGGGATGAATTACTATATGGGGGATGAATTACTATGGGGGATGAATTACTATATGGGGGATGTATTTTCAGTTTTAAAAATGTGGCTCTCAAAATAAATTTCAATCGTGGTTTTGGCGAGATTTGGCTCAGTTGAAAAAAAAGGTTGCCCACCACTGTACTACGTTAACCACTTGCCCTCCTGAGGATTCCCCCCCCCCCCCCCCCCCCCCGACCAGGTCATTTTTTGCATTATAGCGCTGCTTTACTTTAACTGACAATTGTGCGGTCATGCAACGTTCACCTGATTTGGATGTAAATACCCTCAAATTAAAGCTAACAGTCTGCAGTTAAAGCACATCTTGTTCGTTTCATTTCAAATCCATTGTGGTGGTGTATAGAGCCAAAAATGTTAGAATTGTGTCGATGTTCCAATATTTATGGACCTGAATGTATGTGATATAGGGCGGCGGGAATATGGTTAATTTGAATTTTGCTACACTATTTTTCTTTCTTTTGTACATTTTTTTCTGATTTCTAAGTGTTCGATATTAGTGGTTCTGATAAATGTATGTGTAGACCAGTGATATTTTTTAAACTACAATGCACTGTATGACCTTTAAACTATGACCAGCAGGCTTAAAAGGGCCAATAGGAAGGCTTTGATTAAGCAGCCTTCTCACTCTTAAAGGATAAGTTCACCTTTCGTAACATGTTACACCTATATTCAGGGTGTAACATGTCATGAACTGACCAGTCCCCGTTCCTCCCGGATCCCAGTCATGTTATCTAGCAGGGGATTTCCTCCTCGCAGCTAGCTGGCTAGCTCCGTCTGCCCCCCCGACTGTGTCATTCATTCACGATATTCTGTGAATGAATGAACTACAGACAGCCTTTGCAACTGTTGGCTTGTAATTCTGAATGAACTACCACGGCGCTGTGGAGCGCCATGGTAGTTTATTGATTCTTCCTGTCAATAATTCAGATATACTGACAGGTCTGCCGGAGACCTGCATGTCACCAGTGATCTGCTGATCAGAAACAAAAAATAATAGATTGTGGATTTGGGGTTTTCATGAGCTTTAAGCCATAATCATCACAATTATGACAAATCACGACTTGAACTATCTTGCTTTGCATGTAATGAGTCTATCTCATATATTAGTTTCACCTTTTAAGTTGCATTACTGAAATAAATGAACTTTTGCACGATATTCTAATTTTTCGAGTTTCACCTGTATGTGGCTTATTTGAAGTCAGCAGTCACTGAGTGCTGTCCCGTCCATAGCAAATGTTTTTTTAAAGGCTTTCCTTTAGGAAAACAAACTTTTTTTCAGGGGTAGTGTTTTAGGGTTTTCATTTTTTTTTGTGGACTTTTTATTTTTGTTTTATGTTGATAGGGCTTTTTTTCATGCTTGGGGTGCTCAAATTGAAGCATTCACTTGTTACTGACCACTTGTAGATGGAACTTCTTGTATGCAGTATGCAACTGCATTGCTTGAAAGAAAAGAAATCTAAGTGCAAGAACAACATGCACCTTACCCACCTCATATTATAAAACCTACATGAGGATAAGGGTGGGGGTTTACCGTTGGGAGGCTTATAGGAATCTGAAAGCCTCTATTAACAATCAAGCCCTTCTCTTGGATAGCCAGGCTGCATGCTTGGATTAGGGTCTGGTATGGATTTTTAGGGGGACCCCCCAGTACATTTTTTTTTTTTTGCATGAGGTCCGGACTTAAATCGTTTTTTTTTTTTTTAATTCTTGCTGTAGCATGTATTACAGCCAAAGTGACATTTACAAAGAAATAAATGATCGTTTAAATTGCCAGCTTGTTACCTCTCATTGCTGGCTTCTAAAAATAAACACAGCACACAAACCCCTCAAAAGCCTCCCCCCAACATGAAAAAAAATATATAGCTGACCCTTAGAGGGGTCTGTGTGCTTTTTGTTTTTTCATCAAGGACATGTAATTTGCCTGCAATTTTAAACACCCTTTCTTGTCAGTGCTGCTGCAGCACAGGTGGGATTAGGGAACCCTCAGACATGTTAGTTAAAGGAATTAGGCATGTTTATTGTTTCTCTTTACAGCACTGTTCCTGGATGAATTTGTATTGCATTGGTAAATGTTCTGCATGGCAGCTCCCACCCTTCATGCTATTTTCTTACACTCTATTGCCTATTATCCCAGATGGATTTTTTTACTTTGTCAGATTTGACTCCCATTGATTTCCGTGGGGTTAAGGTACACCATCTGAACTTCTTTGAAGTTTCACCGAACCCTGCTCGAATCGAACCCAGGGCACTCCTCATTAGTGAAAGTATCTTACTAAAAATTCAAACATTTACGATGTGCACTGCTTTTGTAAACGAAACTAAACTAAAACACTTTAAAGTTCTGGATCTCCAGCCCTGAGCTAAAGTGTGTTTTTATCTAAATAAATCTGGTTACTGCAATTACAGCCATTTCCATACGTACAGCCATGTCGATAAGGTCATCCGCCATTGCTTAAAACTTGATAAAATGACAGTCTTCTCTGCTCTTTTTGCTTCTTACTTTTTTATGCAGTAGCTTTAGCAACCCAAAGGGGTTGAAATTAAATTAACTTGTATTAAATAATATTTGATTCTAGTTCTTCAGTCATATTTCACATAACATTTTTTATTCTATGCCATCATTAACTCAGAGGTCATGTTGTGAATCTTTCTCCCATATGCCAGTATCATGAAGACGCTATAGTAATGTGGAAGAGAATTGTTCATGGGCAATTAAAAACCTTTCAAGTGAGAAAAAAATTCAAATCCAAAACTGTATTGCTGTAAAACATTACTAAAATGTGAGAGAACTTAAGAAAATGCTAGTGCCCCTTGTTATCATGCAAGATGCTTCTTCATAAAAAAAGGAAAAGAGATTTTATATTCAAAGGTCTGGCTTGCAGATAGAAGAGCAGTGGAGATAAAGGGTCATCCATCATTGTTTGGGAATAGCATCTCTTAAATTCCACTACAAGATTCTGGCTTATGTATTGTTGTTGCGGTCAGCATCTGCAAGTGAGGGCAAGTTTTATAGTAAAATCAATCGTTAAAAGGGTAACAATAAAAGGCTGAACATAACTTTAATGTCTTGAAGCAGCATTCATTGTATTTGCAATTAGATTGGATTGTTACAATGCCAACTGCTGAATGCTTTTCATTGGTATCCTAACGGCAGGTTTTTGTAGTTGTTTTTCACAGTAGCCATATACATTTGGATGGAATTAATTGTGCTTGACTCATATCTAAAAACCACATTTGTTGTAGATAATGCAGAGTATAGACATATATCAGCATCCTATCCAATTAATATTCCTATTTTTTTTTAAAAAAGATTACAGGAAATAAACCTCGCAGACTTTGGAGCAGAGTTGCTCCACATTTATGTTATTTCTCTGAAAGCATAATAGTAACTGGTGGGGGTAGTAAACCGAATGATAGTCCCAGCTGCAATATCAGGAGAATATAAAGAAGAATGGAGCAAGCGTTTTTTTTAATGCACGTTTAATAAGGATTACTGAATAACAAGTATCTGCTGAATCACAAAAATTACCAGCGTATAGGCAGGTTTCTGTTATTTAAGTACCGCTGGGTGACTAAAATGACCCATTTTAATGTCAGCCAGCTGAATGATTAAAACTGTTCTTCCATTGTGAAAACACTTAAAAATAAAATATGAGTGTTTCAATCCTTCTGTTATACTTTTTTTGTCAATCCCTGCAAGACATAGCATTAAGTTGACATTTGAGAATAGCTGCACTGGAGTTACCTAATTTTTATATGAGTTGAATGGCTGTTCATGAACTGTTGTTTAAACATTTCTTCTTCTGAGGGTTTTTTTTCTTCATGAGCTTCTGCAATAAGCTGCTTTTGATATTACACAGCCCAAGTGCACATCTCAGTCCTTGAAACTTAACCCAACAAGCCCCTTAGCATTGCAGGATAGTGGGGTGGACATAGACTGCATGAGACCCAGCGTGAGGCAACTCTGGATCTTCCCTTGATGCTAATGATTATTGCCTCGTACATTATGTGTAACAGTACTAATGTGAATCTCTATGAGGAGAGTGTTCTGTCGAGTATGGGTGCTTACTTCATCTCAGTTCCCTGTAACAATCCACAATTCAGTGTAGCCCCATCAGTGCCACCTGTCAGTGCCCATCAATTCTACATATCAGTGCCCATCAATGCCACATATCAGTGCCCATCAGAGCTGCCTTTCAGTACCAACTATCAGTGCCACCTATCAGTGCTGCCTAACAGTTCCAATCAGTGCCACCTAACAGTGCCAGTCAGTGCCACCTAACAGTGCCCATCAGTGCCACCTAACAGTGCCATATGAGTTCTGCCTTTCAGTGCCCATCAGTGATGCCTATCAATGCCCACCAGTGATGACTGTCAATGCCCATCAGTGCCACCTACCAGTGCCTGCTCATCAGTGTTGCTTATCAGTGCTCATCACTGCAGCCTATCAATGCCCATCACTGCAGCTTCATTAGCACACATCAGTGAAGGAGAAAAAATACTTATTTACAAAATTTTATAACAGAAATTAAGAAAAACACTTTTTTATTTTCAAAATGTTCAGTCTTTTTTAGTTTGTTTAGCAAAAAATAAAAAAAAAAACCCAGTGGTGATTAAATACCACCAAAAGAAAGCTCTATTTGTCTCCAAAAAAGATAAAAAATTTTGTTTAGGTGCAGTGTTGCATGACCGGCCAATTGTCATTCAAGGTGCAACAGTGCTGAAAATTGGCCTGGGCAGGAAGGGGGTAAAAAAAACCCGGTAGGCAAGCAGTTAATATGCCTTTTTAAGTTAGTGGTTAGCCAACCGGCTTTAACTTTTGCTCTTTTATATTTGTTGCCCAGTGGAATCCACTGAAGTATGCTTTTGTTTAATATGCCCTTAAAGCCCTCCCATTTCTCTTCAGTTTTGAAGAGAAGTAGAAGTGCATTAAAGGCATATTAAACAAATTCTTTTTTCCAAAAACGTTATCCCATTTAGTGTCATGTAGTATAAAGTGCAGTTTATTAAAGTTAGCTCTTTTAAAATTTTAAATTGTTTTAATACTGCACTTAGTGGCGCCCCCTTGTGTTTTCTCTGCTTTCTACAGGGATATATTCCAGTCTCTTGGTGGACCTGCCTTCTGCGTGCTTTTTACTGATTATTGATTATGGACTTTCTAAATGATATGGCGACTGTATGGATGGATAGCTAGATAGATAGAAATGATATGGACCTTATGGACTGATAATTTTTTGCTCCATTGCTAGTTCTAGATCTATTGTTATTTACATCTTAGGCTTGCGCCAAAAAGATTTGTATACATTTTTTAAAATGTAATATTCTTGTCCTACCTTCATGGGTCCTTTTCCTAAAATGTTTGACAAATGTTATTACTCTGTGATCCCTGTTACCTAAATTATCACTTACTTCCACATCTGCAATCACCTCTGTGTTGTTTGTAATTAGTAGCACCAGCAGAGCATTATCTCTAATTGGTGCTTCCACCATTTGACTCAAGACATTGTCCTGTATTACATTCAAGAAATGAGGAACCATTGTTGAGTTCAGGGCGGACAGACCATTTGAGCACTCGGGCACTGCCCGAGAGCCTGGGGTCAGTAGGGGGCCTCATAAAATGCCCCCGGTACCTTTTATAGGCTTTTTTGGGAGTGTTTTGAGTGTGGGCAAGGACACAGGGGCCCCATGAGTTGTCAGTCCGCCCCTGGTTGACAGGTACAGTTTCATCTTCCCAATCAGTATCAGGAAAGTTGTAGTCCTCCATGATTATATCATTGCCCTGCCCCCCCCCCCATCTCTAACTGTGAAGTGAACAATAATTACAATAAATTGGTAATGTGGGTGGGGCCTTGTCATGCAGCCTGGGACTGTGGAGTGAAAAGAAGTGGGAACAAATAGAAATGCTGGCTGGTTTTCAATATGGATGCATGTTATCATATAATATTATATATAATAATGCACTTTGAACACATGAGATGCTATGTGCTATAATTTTTATATGTATGTAAACCAAACATTTTACACTATTAGCATTTCTAATTTATAATTCTAAAACCATATTTGAAAAAAAAAGAGGATATTTACTATCAAAAGGGAGTGTGCTTGTCTGGAAGATATTACCATATAAACATTTTTTACTTTCTGTGATAGAAAGCTAATAAAAAGGAGAGGTGGAGGAATGATATAAGCCAGAGGTCTCCAAACTTTCTACAGAAAGTGCCAGTTTACTGTCCTTCAGACTTTAGGGGGTCCAGACTTTGGCTATTGGGGAGTAGAAAAGGTCCTGATGTCAGTTGGAATAGACAATGCCCCATCATTGGTGTCAGAGGAAGGAAGAGCACCCCACCGTTGGTGTCAGTGGGAGGAATTGTGACCCATCTTTGGTTCATTGGGAGGAAATGTACCCCTTCATTGGTGTCAGTACTGAGAATGTTGTTCCATTGTTGGTATCAGTGGATCAAATAGTGCCCCAAGGGTCGGATATAAGCAGGCAAAGGGCTGCATCTGGCCAGGGACGCAGTTTGGAGACCACTGATGTAAGCAATTGGAAACAGACTAATGAAAGCACTAAGATGTATTCTGATGGATGGATGGTTCATGGTTGTTCATATACATTTGGCATTAGCCTGGATTAGCCAGGGTTGACTGTATAAAAAATTTAAATAAAATGCTTTATACTCACCAAAATTACTGATTATTTGTACACAAAAACCCATCCTCCATTTTTTTCCTTAAGAGTTCAATTACTCTGTTGTAAAGGTTATATGTGTGTTTTTTAGTTTCAACAAGTTCTGTTTTTATCACCATGGAGGTTAATGCTTATACAGTAGTTCAGTCTGTCCAGTCAAATTTCTGGTATAAGTTTTAATTTGCTTTAGGGATGAGAATGTCCACTCAACAGAAGCAGTGGACACAGGAATTGTACGTCTGCTAGATGGCCGCAGACTACAATGGGAATAACACATTCATGAAAAAAAATATATTAAATGTAAGTCAATGAGTCTGATAGTTTAGGCAGTGTTTAGGTCAGCAAAGAAGGCCTTGCACACACACACACACACACTATATATAAACACTTCAAACATACTGCCAAGTGTTCAATAGACCCAATCCTATGACAGAGCATGTAAATAGTTAAAGTAACACTGCCAGGATCAATAAAGCCTTAAAGTCTTACTAAACCCACAACAGTAAAATCAGTCTGTACATGCAGTAAAGCATGCTTGTTATACTCACTGTGGAACCTAAGGGGTTAATCCTCTGCATTGTGTAAAAAGGCTGTTTGATCCTGACTTCTCTGCTCCTCCTCTTGTTCAAATGTCCACGTCTTACTTCCTGATAAGACAGACTGAGCCATTCGCACATGCTTAGTTTGGTGTGTATTGCTAGAGTTTTTTTTTTCTTCGGAGAGTGCATGTGATCAGCACAGGGCCAATCAGCACTGTCCAGACAGAGGTCAGGGGTTTTGCATCCTCCTAGAGCAGAAAGAAAACTCCTACAAGCTTTAACCAGTGCTCTGCTAAACACTCATAGAAGTCACAAGACTGCTCTAACTGCTGATGAGAAAAAGTATTTAGCAGTTGATATTTACTAAAATAATTGCACGTCCATGTTCAGTGTACTGTGGGAGACTAGATATAGCGAATGCAGGGTCTGGGGTTTAGTAACACTTTAAAGGAAGGTTCCTTGCAATAGAAGAGCTTTTATATTCACCTTTCTGGGGTCTCCTACCATTGTTCTCTTTTTTGGATTTTCCTGAACTATTAGTCCCAGGGATCATAACTAGGATCGTAACTAGAACAAAAAAAAAGGTAAATCAAAAACTTGACAGGAAATGCATGATTAACCATCATTAAGTTAGCAATGTAATAACAACATCAAACAAGAGCTCAGTGATCCAAATGATTCAATGCAATAGAAACAAGGTGTGTATAATCCCCAGGAAAAACAGTTCATGTGAGATGAGGATTAGCAGGAAAAATACATTTACACATTAGCATACACATTGTTGCTAATTTTTTAATTGTTTCTGTTTTAATAATTCTGTTACAATGCATAAATTGCAAATCTATCATCTATTATTATATCAATTATATTTTTATATATTTATAAAACTGTATTTCACTTCTGTACATACACTTAAAAAAAATGGTTAATCTGTTGAGGACATTGAACTGTGTATATGTAGAAGAAATTTTACACAAATATGTAGCTGTATATAGTTTGATTTACAAGTTTATGCTCACTAACACCCTTTGACAACATGTAGGAGATGGAAATAAGTCTGATTTCAACAGCTTTTCTTCACACACAATGCCAATCTGCACTGAAATCTGTCATGTGAAAAAGTTTCATCAATGAAATATACATAAGTGAAACTCCAGGCAAACAGTTTTACGGCTACTTTCACACTAATCCACCACAAAAACACAGCAAAAACGCATAGGAATTTTTACCGCACTTTTGCTGCACTTTCTTAGTGTCTTTTATAGGACACGTGACTTAAAAACTACACCAAAAATGCTTCTCAGCTGCGTTTTTGAGGCGCTTTTCAGGTTTTTTACAGGCATTTTCCATTGATTTCAATGGGAAGAGGCGTTTTTGGGGTGTTTTATTTTAACTACCAAAACATGCCCCAAAGATGCTGCAAGCAGGAGTTTTTACACCGCACCGCAAATGCAACGCCTCATTCTGAAAACATACATAGATATACATTCAAATACATAGGGAAGCATTTTTCTTGAGCTTTCAGGCGCTTTTATTTTAATGCAAAAACGCTTCAAAAACTCCTCAGTGTAAAAAGTAGCCTAAAGGATAAGTTCACCTTTCAAAAAAAAATATATATGTTGCACATATTTTTGCAGGAAATTTTTTTTTTTTTTTTTCCTGCAGAAGCCTGGAATGCATTGCACCCGCGATCAATGGATCAGGTGTGCAATGGTCAGGTTTTGAGAGAACTTATCAGCACCCTCTCAGTTCATGCAGAACTACAAGCTATCAGCTGTGGTGACTATGGTACTTGTAGTCTATCCATTCACAGGAAAATGTGAAAGAATGATGTGGCCGTGTGAAACAGAGCTCCGCACTGCTGCTCTGTTTTTTAAATTGTGACAGCGGGTGTGGGGAGACGATCCCCCACCCGATGTCACACAGAGGGGCAGAAGTTGGAACATGTTACATGTTCCACCCTAAATAAGGTGGAACATGTGACATGTTCCAAAAGGTGAATTTAGTCTTTAACCTCCCTAGCGGTCTGATTATGTCAGTATTTCTGTGCTCAAAGCGGTACATTTTTTAGCATGGAAATATGTTGTTTTTTATTGCAGGCCTGTAATTTTTAGGAATAACTCACTGAAATCTGTCCGAACAAGAGTCTAGTAAACATCCCGGGTATGATAAAATTTGAAACACGAAATCATAAATTATAATATAAATAATCATAAAATATAATAATATAATAATAACGTTAATTCAATAATGTAATCAAACCAAATACACTAAACTTTGAAATAGAGCGCCAAG